GTCATAATTTTCTAGACACAATAACCTTTTAGTTTCATTCTACCCTTACGTTTTTTATTTTTCTCCCCATCTACTAGTTCCCCCTTCTTTGTTTGATGTTGCAGTTGTCTCATCTCTTTCATTCTTACGATCATACCCATGATTTCATATTCAAACCCAATTGTATTACATCTAAATGCCTTGCATGCCTTCCCAAATACTAACTTGATCCACTTGGATGTTTCTACAACTATAGGATTTTGCACCATCTGGTCTCCATAATCATAACAGGGAAGAGAAAGATAGTTGATGATAATATGAGCAGAGAACTCTGAGTCTGAATCACTTACCGGGTGGATGTAACTCTGAAATCGTCTTGACATGCATAAGAAAGGAAGTCTCTGCTCTGAATTAGAGTCTACTTCATCGTCTGCTTCAATAGGTTGCTCCATGGTGGCTTGAGTTGGAAGAGGCCCAATTTTCTGATGCTTGGCAGTAACCAAAATAGTATTAGAAGGGGCTATGGTTATTGGGCCTTTAGCTCGCCAGTATTTCTTGTGTTGTCTCCCGTTCCTTTTTGCCTTTTAATTTATTTAGGTTTTGATCCTGTAAATAACATATCGGATACCTAGCCTTTGTGCCCGAAGGCCCAGCTGATTCTGACTCCTGCTTCTGTTTATTTTGCTAGGTCAGATTGGGGCAAACCCTAATTTCTTGGGCCTTTTTAAAATTTGAAATTAATCTGCTTCCCACGCGAGTAACCACGTGTGTAGTTTCTGAAGCGACAACTGTAGGGATTGAAAAATTCGAGGAACATCGCTGCAACTCCTTCTGAATAACCTTCTCGATGACTTTCTTATCAATAATTTGCGTGTACTCGTCTGGTAATATGTTGATTTTGAAGTGCCAATCTTCTATCTCCACTACCACTGTGCTTTCTGACCATGCATGTAGAGGAACACCGAAAGCTCTTACCCATTTATGTTCCTTCCTCTGACACAAAATCTCTGGTAATACGCTCCTACTTCCACTCAGGAATCTCAAGTCTATGAAGCAAACCGCCAGGTCTCTGATGTTCATACTTCATATGCTTACAATTCAAACACCGATCCACATACTCAACTATATCCTTCTTCATTCTTCTCCACAAATAATGCTGACTCAAATCCTTATACATCTTGGCAGCACCCGGATGAATGAAATACCGCGAACTGTGGGCCTCCTCAAGAATCAACTCACGAAGTCCATCCACATTGGGTACACAAATCCGACCCTGCATCCGCAATACCCCATCCACTCCAATAAAAAACTCCTTGGCTTTACCGTGCTGCATCGTTTCCTTAAGGACAAGCAAATGGTGTCGTCATACGTGCACTCATACAAAGAAGACTGAGAAACCATGCAAGCAAGAATCTGACTAGGCTCTGAAACATCTAAATTCATGAACTGATTGGCCAAGGCCTGAACATCTGATGCTAGCAGTCTCTTACCAACTGGAATATATGCAAGGCTGCCCATACTCACAACCTTTCTGCTCAAGGCATCGGCCACCATATTAGCCTTCCCCGGATGGTACAAAATGTGATATCATAGTCTTTTAACAACTCTAACCACCTCCGCTACCTCAAATTTATATCCTTTTACTTGAACAAGTGTTGTATACCCCGATGATCAGTGAATACCTAGCACGACCCAACGTAGAGGTAATGCCTCCAAATCTTCAATGCATGAGCAATAGCTGCCAACTCTAAGTCATAAACATGGTAATTCTTCTCATGAACCTTCCACTGCCGAGACGTGTATGCAATAACCCTTCCATCCTGCATCAATACTGCACCAAGCCCAATATGTGATGCATCACAATATACAGTGTAGGATCCTGAACCCATAGGCAACACCAACACTAGAGCTATAGTTAAAGCAGTCTTGAACTTCGAAAAGATCAACTCACACTCGTCGGACCACCTGAATAGGGAACCCTTCTGTGTCATTCTAGTCAATGGTGCTGTGATAGATGAAAATTCCTCCATAAACCGGCAATAATAACCCACCAAACCCAAGAAGCTCAGAATCTCTGTAGATGAAGTAGGTCTAGGCCAGTTCTGAACTGCCTCAATCTTCTTAAGATCCACTTTAATGCCATCAGAAAATACCACATACCCCAAAAAGGCAACCGAATCCAACCAAAACTCACACTTTGAAAACTTGGCATATAACTGACTATCTCTTAAGGTCTGAAGTACGATCCGAATATGCTGCTCATGCTCCTCTCGACTGTGTGAGTATACCAAAATATCATCAATGAAGACAATCACAAAAGAATCCAGATAGGGCTTGAATATCAAGTTCATCAAATCTATAAATGTTGTTGGGCATTTGTCAAGCCAAATGACATCACTAGGAACTCATAATACCCATACTGAGGCCGGAAAGATGTCTTACGGACATCCGATGCCCTAATCTTCAACTGATGGTAGCCAAACCTCAAATCAATCTTCGAAAAAACCTTGGCACCTTGAAGCTGATCAAATAAGTCATCAATCCTTAGCAAAGGATACTTGTTCTTGATAGTGACTTTGTTCAACTACTGATAATCAATACACATCTTCATCGTACCATCCTTCTTCTTCACGAACAACACTGGTGCACCCCGTGGCGAGACACTAGGTCTAATAAATCCTTTATCAAGCAAATCATGCAACTGCTCCTTCAATTCCTTCAACTTAGCTAGGGTCATACGGTATGGTGGAATAAAAATGGGCTAAGTGCCTGGAGCCAAGTTAATACAGAAGTCGATATCTCTGTCGGGTGGCATGTCCGGCAAATCTGAAAGAAACACCTCTGGAAACTCACGCACTACTGGTACTGAATCTATGGTAGGAACCTCCACACTAGGATAACAAATATAGGAGAAATATGCTAGACATCCCTTCTCGACCATATGTCGATCCTTCACATAAGAAATAATATTACTAGTAGAATGGCCATGAGTCCCTCTCCACTCTAATCGAGGCAACCCCGGCATGGCTAAGTTCACCGTCTTGGCGTGATAGTCCAATATAGCGTGATAAGGTGACAGCCAATCCATGCCCAAAATAATATCAAAGTCCACCATATCAATAAGTAGGAGATGTAGACTAGTCTCAAGGCTCCCGATAGAAACTGCACACAAGTGATAAACACGGTCTACAATAATAGAATCTCCCACGGGCGTGGACATAAATACAGGAGCACTGAAAGAATCATGAGGCATAAACAGATATGAAGCAAAATAGGATGACGTGTATAAATAAGTAAAGCCAATATCAAATAGAAATGAGGCATCTCTATGGCAAACTAGAACAATACATGTGATGAAGGCGTGAGATGACTCTACCTCAGGTCTAGCTGGAAATGTATAAAATGGGGTTGGGCCCCACCACTCTAACCTCTGCCTCTCGAACGGCCTCTAGCTGGCTGTCCTCTACCTCTAACGGCCTGACCTCCACCTCTAATGGCCTGACCTCCACCTCTAGCAGCCTGACCCCCACCTCTAGCTGGCTGAGCGAGCGGTAAAGTAACTAGTTCCGGAACCATGGCACAAGAACTATGTTATGACATGTCGCCCTGTGACTTAGGGAAAAATCTAGCAACGTGCCTCAGATATCCACAATTATAATAGGCCCTCGGCTGCTGACCCTGGAACTATCCCTGTCGACCTGGATAACCACCATGATAACTCTGGATCGGAGGTGCACTAATAGGAGATGATGGTGCACTATAGGCTAGCTGCTCAGAATGAGACACATAAGAACCATGACTACCCGAAGCACTGTGGGATGCCTGAAGGACTGACTGAAACGGCCTGGGAGGATATCCCCTACCAAATAAACCCTTGCATCCAGATGAGGCACCACTAGAACTACCAGAATGATGAGGCCTCTTCTCAGATATTGCCTCCCTACTCTGACCATGAATCATCTCGATCCGTCTAGCAATTTCTACGGCCCTCTGAAAAGAAATATCATCTCCGGTCTCCTTGGCCATCTGTAGCCTAATACCGAAAGTAAGTCCATCAATGAATCTCCTCACTCGATCTCTCTTAGTAGGGAGTAAGATAACTGTATGGCAAGCTAGTTCCACAAATCAGGTCTCATACTTAAACTATGTTTAGCTAATTCTATGGCATATTACCTGTTTGTTCCATGTTGCTAATTGTTGTCTCTAGTTTCTTATTGTGAATATTGTTTTGTTATTTCAACCGTGCTTAGCTTTATAATGATATAGTTCCCTGTTAGTTTCGCATTCATACTTGTACAGGTTATTAAGTCCAGTAAGTATCTTGACTGTCCCTCGTCACTACTCCACCGATGTTAGTCTTGATACTTACTAGGTACTGCTGTGGTGTACTCATGCTATGCGTTTTGAATATTTTTGTGCATATCCAGGTACCTCAGAGTTTGTTGATCATTAGCTAGTTGATCGGGCATTTCTGTGGGGAGTCAAGGTATACCTGATGTCGTGCTCGTAGGCCTCGGAGTCACCCTCTGAAATTTTACTTTGTACTATTTATTTCTATTCCAGAATAATTGTATTTAGAGATTTTCTAGTAAATTCAGTACAACTTATTACTTGTACTACCGGGTTTGGGATTGTTGGCTTGTATAGAAATTTCCATTTCGAAATTAATAGTTGTTGGTTAAATTTTGCCATTAATTCAGTAAGTGTTAGGCTTACTTAGTCCTAAAGACTAGGTGCCATCACGACATCCTACGGAAGGAAATTGGGGTCGTGACAAGTTGGTATCAGAGCTCTAGGTTCATAGATGCTACGAGTCATAAGCGAGTTTAGTAGAGTCTTGCGGATCGGTACGTAGACGTTTGTACTTATCTTCGAGAGTCTACAGAACTTTTAGGACAGTTTCACTTCTTTTATTCCTATCGTGCGAGTTTATTGATCTAGAAGTTTGAGCATTTGTCATTCTATTCTCTCACAGATGGTGAGGACACAAGTTGCAATTACTGATGACGCTGCCCCCAGAGCTAGTGTTGCTAGGGGCCGGGGCAGAGACAGAGTAAGAGGCCAAGAAGGAGCATGTGCTATAACTAGGGCACCTGTCATAGTAGCAGTTGAGGAGCAACCGCTAACTCCAGCTGGGGGATAGGTACTGGAGGAGCCTGTTGCTACCCTTGGGCTTCAGGAGACTTTAGTATAGTTCCTGAGCATGTTTGGTACATTGGCTCAAGCGGGGTTGATTCCGGTTGCACCAGCTACTTCACAGACAAGGGGAGGTGCTCAAACTCCTGCCACCCATACTCCAGAGCAACGAGTCTACATTGGTCAGGTTCCAAGTGTCATGCCGACACAACCTGTTGTTCCAGTTCAGCCTGTGGTTAGAACAGCAGCATCTGAGGAAGAACAACTTAGACTTGCAAGGTTCAAGAAGTATTACCCTCACACCTTAATTGGTTTGGCTTTAGAGGAAGTGCATGGGTTCCTAGAGGAGTGCCACTGTATTCTCCATACTAGGTGTATTATGGAGACAAGTGGGGTTGTTTTTACTACGTTATAGCTTAAGGGAGCGG